ACATCAGGAAGATAACCATGTCATTAACATCTGATCCATTCGGATTCAAATGTTATACTTGGGATTTAGTATGGTATGGCTGATATCAATGAGATTAGGCTAGTGTTTTTGAAGGTCTAGACGTAGACTATCCACATTGTAGTGGAGATTTTATAATTGGAAATTGTTAACATTTGAGTCTTCGACAACAAATAGTTGGTTGCTGTGAGTTCTATAGGAGAAGAACGATAGAGAATGAGGAGCTGAGATTTTTATGTGACATAGGGTAAAGCTACAGCCAAAGGAAGTGAAGATAAAGAAGGATTGGAGTAAGCAATTTTTTTTTAAAAATCTCTGATGCCATATAAGTGCCATTGGTTTGGAAGAAAAAAATCATTATCTCGTGTATTCATTCAATATATGTAGACATATGTGAGGTGAATTAAGGAGATACAAGTAAACTATAACACTGAAAACAGAAAGATAAATTAATGTATTTTATTCTTCAATATATTTGATCTTTGGTCTGTAGGCCTTAGAAAGAGGCCTTTCCCTCTATTTACTGAGTTTTCAGGTTTGAGATTTATTCTTTGAGAAGAGTTTTTTGGAGAGGATTTCAGATTTGAGATGCATAAGTGACGGAGTTAGTTGGAGCAGTCCTCTCCTTGTTGATGATTGGATTTCCTTTTTTGGCTTAGATGCTAGTTTATCTCTATGTTGCCAAATTCTATTGATATTTTTGCTTGTAAGCTTTCTAAAGATGGATGGTTTTCTGTGCAGTCCAATTACAGTCATTTGCTTGGTTTTAACGAGATCCTGAAGTATTTTCCTAGGAAGCACATTAGGAAGGCAATAGTGGGCCAATAGTAGTTTTCTTAGTTGGAAGGTAGTGTGAGAAAGGATGTTAACGATTGGAAGTCTCACGGAGAAAGGCATAATGATGCTAAACAAGTGTTTCTTGTGCCACAAAAAGACCGGATCGCCAAGTCATCTTTTTCTCTGGTGCCTTGAAGCTAGAAGGCTTTGTGGAATTCTCTCTAGCACTTGAACCTCAGTTGGACTGTTAGTGGCTCGACTAAGGATAAGTTATGAGTACGAGTGCCAACAAGCTGAGCCGAGCCTGATACTTGAGTTGTTGAATTTGATTTTTGAAATCCTGTCAGGCTTGAGTTCGATTTGAAATTAGATTCAACCCCCTTTTTTTCAAGCTTGAGCTTGACTTGTTTGAGGAAATAGAGTTCAAGTTCAGTCTAATAAAAGTTTGGTGAGGAGCGGAGCCTGAACAAGCACGAACTCAAGCTCAAGTAAGTTTAACCTATACCAAATCGAGCTTGATAAGCTTTATTTAGGATACATATTAAATATTCTATAGTATTAATGTAAATGATTAATAAATTTTGAAAGTATGCTAATTTATATTTTAGTAAATAAGTATAAAATATACGTAATTTAATCAATATATTAACAAACATTCGCGAGTTTTCAAATCAAATATCTCTAGACTTCACCTTGACTTGTTTACCTAGAGGAACCTTTTCTCAGGACTGAGTTTGGCTCAAGCTCAGTTTTGATTGTACTGGAATTGAGCTTTTGGCGATGTCCAATTCAAGAAGTTTGCAAACGTGTCTAGTTTTCTTCCAGCCCTAATTATGGATATGGAATGTTACTTAAGTGGCTATGACGAGGAGGAAATTCTCCTGCCTCATTTGCCATGTCATTTTTTTTGTCATCTAGAAAGAAAGAAGCAAGAGAGCTTTTGGAGATGAGTCCTTGTCTCTTGCTCGCTTGACTATTGGCTTGGAATAAATATATATGTATATTTTTAATGGTTTGCAGTATTTTTTATGGGGTTGATTTTGATCTATTTGACCTATTTTCTTTGAGAGTTCTGGATATTTTTGTACTTCGGTCGCACTTCTTGGTGCCTTTCTATGTTATTTTCTTCTAGCTCTCTCTCTCTCCCCACCTTTCTCTGTCTCTCATATATTATTTTCTTGATCTACTTTTGCCTATTCTCTCTTAAAGTTGTTAGTTTCCTACATGGGTAGCATCCCTTTTATGCCTTTTTTATGTTTTCTTTACTCTATATGTGTAAACACACACAAAACGAACGCTGGAAGCCTAGGGCGCTATAGATTTAGGTAAGCTACTTTATTAACATGATTATCAAATAAGCAGCCTGCATGAAAGTGAGTTTGTCATCTGATGGACTGTGTTTATACCATTTTCCAATCACTAATTCAGCTCAGTATTGCCAAAGTGATAGATTTTACATTTTTTTAAGCTTTCCTTTCACTTTTGATAGTGTGAGAATAATTATCGGCAGCCATTTCCTTTTCTTTTTCTTTTAAAAAAGAAATCTCTCTCTGTTTTTTTTTTTAAAAAGAAACAGCTAAAGGATTTTGATTTTTCAGGAATTGCGAATGTATAATCCAGAGTACTTGGAACGACCATATATTGTGGTTCTTAATAAGATTGATCTACCTGGGGTACGTGGCTTCCATTTCTTTTTCATTTATCATTTTCGATTTTCCTGTAATTTACTATTTCTTTGTTTTATACCTGCTGCTTGGTCACTTCAATTTTGGTATGTTACCCATGTCAAACATAATACTAGAGCTGTTTGGGTGTAGCACCTGTGTCTGACTTTTGATGATCTAAAACTAGAGGTCCTCCTGTATCAAGCATATGACAGCTGTGTGCGTCTGGAATCTTGTCTGACAAACAATGATTTAGGACTGGCGGTTGTGGTATATGATACTCAAGGGCTAGATGTTGAAAACAAGATGGGACAATGTCTTTGAATATCTAAATTTAAATTGTTTTGGTATGAGTAAATAGTTAGTCCGTTATAATTAGCATTGGCTTCTCATTCTTTTTATTTCCTTTTTCTCTTTCATTATCTTTTTGTGAAAAGGCTGTGCTTAGTGACATTCTCTTAATTTATTTATAGGTTTATTTCACTATATCAAATAAATCAAAATAATCTTGCCTAATGTTAGACTCCTATTATAGGTTTATCTTTGATTTTGAAAGTTGTCAAGTCCAACACTGAAGTCCATACCTGTTCCAGACACACCCACATTTGAATCTGAGGAACATGTAGTAATGCTCTCTTTTTAGTATCAAAACATGTTTTATGTTAAGTCTTGAGGGTGGAGGCAGTTTCTAGGCTTGAGGATCAATCTCAATAAATCTGAATTGGGAAGAATTGGAGACAGAAGGGATGAGAATGAGCTTGTGGAGGTGTTGGGATGCAAGGTGGCTCAACTTCCGATAAAATATCTTGGTATGCCTCTGGGTTCCAGATACAAAGAGATGAAAATTTGGGATCTCGTAATTGAGATGTTTGAGAGAAGGTTTGAAGGGTGGAAGAGAAATTTTTTATCGAAAAGTGGTTGCTTAACATTAATTTGTTAGAATATTATAGAATATTCTATGTATATAATATATGATTATATTCCCAAATATATTAGTATGATTAGGAAGAAAGTTAATAGAGTAATTTATATTGGTTATCATATATGAATCTATCTACATGTATATATATCCTTATTCTCTATTCAATAAATAATAAGAGTATTATTTAATATTTTTTCCTTCCTTAACTCTTAATATAGGGTTAGGGTTAGGGTTAAAGTTAGGGTTAGGGTTAGGGTTTTAGGGATCAAAATACATTAGACTAAATAAGGGTTGAACAACCCATTCCCGACACCGGAGGAAGTCGACCACCTATCTCTGGCCTGTTAAAAGTGCGGCTAGCACAGTGGTGTATGCTGAAGGAGAGAAGGAGGCTGTTTGCGCGGCTGTTTCAAGTCAAAATTGGGTTTGTTGGCCGTTTGTGCGGCTGCCTAAAATCCTAGCGTCGTGCCTATCTTGTGCGAACTTAGAAGGTGAAGGGAAGCTCAATTGGCCGGTTCTGAGCACGAAATCAGAAGGCCGGGCGGAGAAAATTCATGGTTGAGCAGATTGCGTGACAACAAGCTTTTCCAGTTTTCCAGTGTGATTTACTGCGACGTTGGGAGCTACATTCCGGATTTGGGTGTGTATTTTGGTTCTATGGTGATTTTCGGCCAAAAGGAGATTGTTTGGCATTTTCCGGTGGCGGCAAGTGGTTTTCCAGCGGCGGTGTGTGCGGTGGCACAGAAACTCCAGTGATTGGCAGTGAGCTTTTGGTAAGGTTGTTGATAGCCGTGCGTGAAGAGTTACTCTGTCTTTTGAAGTTTTCTGGTATATTTACAGTGTTTTTGGTATATCTCTAGTTGCTATGTTTGAATATTTTGAGTAATATTTTTTAATTTCTGGATCAAAATAGGTGATAATATTGTCTGTTATTATTGCTGTGAGCGAGGACATATAAAGTAATATTGTAAGAAATTGAAGAATCGCAATCGGATTGCACAAACTGCTAATTTTGTTGTTGCTACTGCTAGCACATCTTCTGAAAGATTTGTTATGATTTCAGTTGACGAATATGTTAAATTCTCTCAGTATTATGAATTTTTAAATAAATTTTCTGTTCTTACTGAATCAGAGAAAAAATGTTTTATCTCCTGCTTGAACATATGAGCAATTAATTCTGGTGCTATAGATCACATGACAGGTAACTCTAATATTTTTTCTAGTGTTCGACCACATAAAACATATTTTCCTGTAACCACTGTTGATGGGTCGACTTATAACATTGTGGGTTCTGAGACCACAAAACCATCTTCATCTATTATTTTGTCATATGTATTAAGTCTACCCAAACTCGCATTCAATCTGATTTCTGTTAGCAAGTTAATTAAAGATTTGAATTGTTTTATTAAATTATTTCCTAATCATTGTGTTCTTTAAAATTTTATGACGAATCATATTATTGGTAAAGAAAATATGTCAGATGGTCTCTACATTCTTGATATTTGGGTGCTTCGATCGATTGTTTGCTCTAGTGTTATCTTTCCATTTGAAGCACATTGTCAATTACGACATCGGTCTCTACCTATGTTGAAAAAGTTATGTCATCAGTTTCATAATGTATTTTCACTAGATTGCGAGTCATATCAGTTTATAAAATATTACCGTAGTTCGTCAGGTCCAAGGGTCAATAGACAAATTGAGTATGCTTTTGAGTTAGTTCATTCTGATGTTTGAGGTCCCTGTCCTGTTCCGTCCAAAACAAGGTTTAAGTATTTTATTACCTTTGTGGATGATTTTTCTTACATGATTTGAATATATTTTATAAAAAATCGTTATGAAGTATTTTTTTATTTTTGTGCTGAAATCAAGACACAAATCAATGTTTCTGTGCATGTATTGACAAGTGATAATGTCAAAAAATATATGTAGGAATCATTTCAGAATTATATGACTCAACACGGAATACTTCATCAATCATCGTGTGTTAATACACCATCTCGAAATGGAGTCGCCGAGTGGAAGAATAGACATTTATTTGAGACAACTCAAACTCTCTTATTTCAAACGCAACTCTAGAAGCAATTATGGACCGATGTTGTTTTCACGGCTTGTTTCTTGATTAATCGTATGCCATCTACAATACTTGATGAAAATGTTCCTTACAGTCTTTTTCTTCCAAACAATTCTTTGTTTCCGGTGCAATGTAAGATATTTGGCAGCACTTGCTATGTTCGAGATGTGCGACCTATTGTGACAAAATTGGACCCAAAGGCCTTAAAATATATATTTTTGGGATATTCTCGACTTCAAAAAGGATACCAATGCTACTCTTCAGATCTCAATAAATATTTAGCGTCAACTAATGTGATATTTTCAGAGAATACACCGTTCTTCTCCTTATTGTCCAAGTTTACAAGTCAGGGGGTAGATGACGGGTGGCTCATCTATAGTTTTACACAGGTGCCTCTGCTAAGCAGACATATAATATTGTTTCTTCAGATAATGTGCCTCCGGCTCTACTTGAACAAGTTGATAATAATGTTAGTGTGCCTTTGACCCAAGTACCACCATCAGTTGTTCATGTTTATTCCAAAAGACCACAGATTAATGTTATATGTCTTGTACCAGGTCTGTTGTCATTTGATTTTGTCTCACAGGACCTTGATCTTCCCATTGGTGTACGTAAAGGTAAATGTCAGTGCAGCCAACAAATTCCATTGCTAATTTTATCTTATGTGACCATATGTCTCATTCGTCTAGTTCTTTAATTGCTTCTATAGATTCAACTTCTATACGCAAGACAGTTAAGGAGGCTTTGAATCACCCTTGTTGGCGTAATGCAATGCTTGAGAAAGTAGATGCTCTTGATGAAAATCATACCTGGGATTTGGTGGATTTACCTAAATGAAAAAATGTTGTATGGTGCAAATGGGTATTTGCAGTCAAAGTGAATTCAAATGGCTCAGTGATGAGACTTAAAGCTCGATTGGTAGTAAAAAACTATACTTAAACTTATGGGGTGG